GGGTTTGATCCCTGTACCATCCGGTACCCCAAAATAATTTTTTTGAACAGATTTCACCAAAGAAGATATACGGATGGCAAATAAGCACATGAAAAGATGCTCAACATCATTAGTCATTAGGAAAATGCAAAATTAAAATCACACTGAGATACTACTACTCACTTATTAGAATGGCTAATGTTTAAAACACCGACCATACTACATTTTGTTAAGATGTGAAGTAAGTGTAACTCCTGTACTCTGCTGGTGAGAATGAAAAACTACTTTTGAGGATGATAACCATTTTGGAAATAGTTTGACAGTTTCTTAAAATGTAAAAGACACACCTACCATTCCACTCCTAGGTATTTACACAAGAGAAAACAAAATAAAATACAGAAAAACTTGCACACAAGTTTTCATAGTCGCTTGTAGTAGTCAATTTCTATTGCTTATAACAATACCTGAAACTGGGTAATTTATAAAGGAATACAATTTATTTCTTATAGTTTGGGAGGCAAGGAAATCTACGGTACAGAGGGCACATCTGGTGAGGGCCTTGTTCTTGGTGGTGACTCTCCACAGCAACGCAGGGCGTCCCATTGCAAGAATGGGCTGAGCAAGAGAGAGCTAACTGCCTCATTTTCTCCTCTTATAAAGCCATCAGAACCACCATTAATGGATCAATCCATTCACAAGGGCACAGTCCTCACAATCTAATCACCTCTCAAAGACCCCACCTTTCAGATACCATAATCGGATTTCTCACTGTCTTAGCACTGAACAATACGGGTCAAATTTCCAATACATGAACTTTTGGGGGACACGTTTAATACATAGCACAGCTTTATTTGTAACAGCAAAAAATTGAAAACAACTCAAACATCTACCAACAGGTGAATGGATAAATTGTGGTACATCTATCCAATGGAATATTACTCAACAATAAAAATAAACTATCGACACATGCAACAACATACGTGATCTCAAAATAATTAGGCTGAGTGGAAGAAGCCATATAAAGAAGTGTATTCCTGTATTTCATATATCCAAATATCTAGAAAATACAAACTAATCTGTGGGGACAGAAAGATCAATTGCTGTTTGGGGATGGGGCGGTCAGGGAGAGGCCAGAAGGAGGGATTAACAAGAGGCTTGAGGAAACTTTTGAGGATGACAGATATGTTTACTATCTTGATTGTGGCGGTGGTTTCATAGATGTATACTTACAGCAAAATGTACCATAGTGCACACTTTAAACTCGTAACACTTGGGCATGTCTATTTTATTATGTTTCAATTACACTACAATGAAGAGTTATTTGATTTATTTTATTTTTTATTAGCATATTCATTGTTACAAGTCATACTTATTCTTTATGCTCCTTATCCAGTCTCTCCCCTTCTCTCTCCCCCTTCCCCTTTTCCTCCTCCCCTCCCCACTCTAATAACCATAGATTTGGTCTCTCCATCTGATGGATTAACGGTTCCTCTGTTGGTTTGTTGCCTAGATGATCTGTCCAGTACTGAGACAGGTGTGATCAAGTCCTCCCCTATTATCATACATCAGGTGCTTCTTTTATTACTCTGGATTGTGTTTTGTGGGGAGAGAGGACCTCTTCTTTTATTTTATTTTTTATTATTTATTTATTTGTTTGTTTGTTTGTTTGGTCGGTCTCCACTGGTGCCTCTCCTTGTGACAATGACGTTGAGAGTCTGAAGAGTTATTTCAAAAATAAAATATTCCCTTCAGAAAATAAAAATAAAGTGAATACTGGTTTTCATTGGCAATTGGCAGCTATCTCTAAGAGGAAAAAGTATATTTTCCTTTCTCTCCAGGTCCCAGAAAAAAATCTCCATGCTGTGTTGAGATTCCAGATTCTCAAAATGAAGACTGTCAGCAGAGGCTGACATTTCCTGCAGACTCCTGTCCTATAGCACCTTATTTGGGCTCAAACATCCTCCCTTCCAGGACAGAAAAGAAGTTCCCAAATGCTGGTCATGTTGGTCCTGTGGAGCACAGTATCTTTTTCTACAGGTTTCCTTCTGATGCTCTCAGCACCCCAGCAAGGCAGGTTTAGGCGCCAAGAGGCTGAGGCCAGAGAGCTGAAGGCACTGGCAGCTGCCCCAGCCACACTGTGAGATGTGGCCGTGGATCCCACATCCCTGAGCATGGGTCCATCTGGGCTTCATTCTGCCCGGAAAGTACCAAACCCCCTCCTTAGTAGTCCCTCACAATCCTGGAGGGGGACAGAACCCAGAACATCACTGCTCCCTTCCTCACCTCTCTGCACATGAGGAAATGGAGGCCCAGGGAGGTCTTGGCTGGTCTTGCTCCAGGGGCAGCCTGGCTGGAGGTCTGTTCCCCACAGCAGGACCACAGTGGTCCTGCCACCTTGAATGGCCTCTTTGGAAGGGGCTTGCTCAGTTTAGGTGAAAACTGAGGTGGACCAGCCCCAGCACTAGCCCCAGGATGGCTGTAGGAGAGACGGCATCATGCATGGTTAATATCACACCCTGGCTCCTCCAGATGCTAGCTCTTTGACCTTGAACAAATCTCTTACCTGCTTCCTGCCTGCCTCAGTTGACTTGCCTAGAAAACAAAGGTGGGAATAGCACCTACCTCCTTCAAGTATGAATAGAATTAATGGAGTGTGAGGTCATCAGAAAAGTACTTGGCCCAGACAAAGGCTACAGAAGTGCTCGTTAAATAAACAAATGGCTTCAGCTCTGCTTAGTCCTGAAGGCCTGGGCTCCTGGCATTGCCACCCAGAGAGCTCTGAGCGGAGGCCCTGCTGACACTGAAGAGCGCCTGCCCTGTGCCCCCCTCTACGAAGCAGATGCTTTCTAAAGCTTCTATCATCCTCACTCCAGCAGGACAAGGGGAGGCTTTGTGTACCTAGCTCCCAAGATGAGGGAACAGACTCTGAAAGGACCAGACTGCCAGCAATCACAGGGCCGGGATCAAGGCCAGGCCTATCTGCCTCCAGGACTGGGCCTGGGTGAGGAGCAGCCTTAGCAAGGCCCACCTGCTTCCTCCTCTGTCTGGAGCTGTCCTGCTGGTGTTCTTGCCCCCCCCCCCGCCCCCCCAGGCTGCGTGAGGCACAAGGCCACGCTTCCTGGAGCTCAGTGTCCCTGCCTGTAGAGCGGCCTTGCTGGTGGTCATGAGGCTGGGATGTGAGAGCCCATGAAGGGTTGTGGTCACCTGTATGGCAACGAGGCCAACCTTCCCCACTTCTCGAGCTGTTTCATGCTCCAGCTCTGCTATTGTGTTGTGTGCCTTTGTCCAAGAGGCGGAGATACTGAGATCATCTGCTGCCGCCTGGATTCTCCCAGAGCTCGCCCGGGACATCGGGTCTCACACACCATCCTGGTAGGAATCTCCTTGAGCAGTGACATTCGAGGGCTTGTGAACTGGCTTCAGACCAGTGGTGGGCAGGGAGCAGGGAGGGCAGGAGGGACGCAGAGAGCTTGGCATTTCTCCAAGAAGGAAATACAGGGAGAGCTCAGCTGCCAGTGTATGTGACAGGTTTATCAGCCTACCGGGCTCAATGCCATTTTCCCATCCTTCTCCCCTCCGCTGGCCCCTTCCACCCTCCACCCTGTTTTCCCTTGCTCCGGGGAGCTGGAACCCTCTATTCCGGTGTGGGGACACAGAGAAATGCTTCCGTGGCTTCTGAGCCACTGGGCAGGCCCAGGTCTTTAAAACATGGAGGGCTGGGAGAGGGCCAGGACCCCAGGATGGAGCATTGAGAGCTGGAAGGGACTGTGGACAGCAAGCCCTAATAACAGAGGGGAGAAAGGAGAGACCCAAAGCCGAGGGAGGGAAAGGGCCTGGCCAGATCCACCGCAAGTCAGGAGCAGAGCTGGACTGGCCCGTGTGCTCTTACCACGACCTCCAGACAAGGAGTCTGCCTAGAGCAGCGGGATCAGTGGGGCCTGAGGGGAGATCCTTTTCCTCACCACCTCCTTGCAGTCCTGGGACCCAACACCATCCCGTCCTCAGCCTTCTTGGCCTCCTGTTATGCATCTGGCCAGCTTGGGGATGTGCTGGAATTGGTGTTCCACGGGGGTTGGATGTGCCACTCACAGGTCCCTGTGGGCCAGGGTAAGTAGGACCAGGGTGACCCCTGCCTTCTGCTGGGGTCTTCCCTCTGCTGCAGGGTCTCTTCTTAATCAGAAGGATCCCACAGGTCTGCATGAGTGCCTTAGGCCACTGGCTTCCCCACTCTGGACCTCTCTAAATTCCTTTCTTGCCTGCCTGCACGTCTCCTAGTTGGGCTGAACTCCAATTCCCCACACAGGGCTGTGAGGGTGACCGTGGCCTTAGGCTTCTGGTGGGCAGCCCACTCCACTGTTGCTTGGGGAGGAAAGGAGACAATCCTCCCTACTCGGGGCAGCCCCAGGACTGCTCCTCCCCCAAGGCCCCCACTGCTGGCTATACCCACCTCCACCCCTACATGCTATCCCCCAGGGCATGAAGGGCACACATTAGCTCTCTGTCTGTGGCCCGAGGCATCTCCTAACCCCACAGAGTTGCTCACTCGCCAAGCACAGGAGGCCAGGGGCTGGGAGCTAGGGGTGGTGAGCAGTGCTGTGCCCTGTGGGAGATGAGTACCCAGTCCTCCCACCTGAGTCGGCTGTGCCCTTGCCTCTAGTCAGTGTAGCCTTGTCTCCAGCCTAAGGGGCCCTGGTGGGGATGTTGGCAGCCTGGGCTCAGGTATGAGCTTGCCGTGGGGCTTTCAACCTGCTCCTCTCCGGCTTCTCTTAAGGAGCCCAAGCCCTGGCCAGATGTGAGGGCCTGGTCCCTGGGAGCCTCCTCTAACTCCCCAGCCCAAATGGATGGACCCATGAACCCCATACCTTAGTCCCCATGGGGCCCTGCCCAGACAGCACCTGGGAGAAGGTCAGAATGACCTCCGTCCCTCCCTCTTTGGTAGATGGGGGCCACCCCTTCTCCCCACCCCAGTTGCCTGGCTGAGCTCGGCAACCCTGAGGTCCGTGAAGCGAAAAGGCTAAGGCTGGTGGTGGGAGGGCGGGGGGGACATCACCCTTTATTGTGGGGTCTGTACTGTGGGTTACAGGCCCCTCCTGCTGAGGGAAGGCTGAGACTCCAGCCTGGGCTGACCATCTGGCCTCTTATGAACCCATTCTCCTTCTGTCCTCTTAATCCCAGGCTGAGCATTTGCACTGGATCTTTAGGGGCCTGTGGGACCTCTGGGGCCTCTGTCACTCGCTGTCACCAAGTGCTAGAGAGCATTGTCAGTCAGTAGCAGTGAGCCAGGTGGGTGGTGGGTCACCTGGCGCAGCAGGCCTGGGGCTCGGGCCCTGGCCCAGCAGCTGCAGAGCCCCAGGTGGAGGCAGCAGCGGTGGCCCCAACCGTGCTGCCCCCAGACTCGAGGTCCAGGCCCTCGTAGATGGTGGGGAGTGAAGTGCGCTGGCTGAGCCGCCGGCGCAGACCAACCAGCAGGGGCTGGGGCAGGGAGGCCACATCCACGTTGTTGCCCAGGTCCACCCAGGCCAGCGCAGGGAACTTGGTGGTGTCCTTGACGGCCTCGGTGAGCTCGCGGGCGGCGGCCCGAGTCAGCCGGTTACCGTTGAGCAGGAGCTGGGTGAGGTGGGGCAGCAGCCACAGGCTGGGCAGCAGCAGGTGCAGCAGCTCATCACTCAGCCCCGTGAAGCTCAGGTCCAGCACCGCCAGACCAGCCCCGTGGCTGCCCAGGTAGTGTGTTATGTGCTGCACGTCCCGTGCCGACAGCGGGATGCCGGAGAGGTCCACGGTCTCCTCTGCTAGCAGAGTCTTCTGCAGGCTGCTCTTGAGGCTAGTAGGTTGGAGGCAGAGATGGACTGAGCAAGGGCCCAGGGCCAGGCAGGCCCCCACCAACCATAATGACCCGCTGGGGGCAGCCCAGGTCCTACAGTACGGCAAAGCCAAACTGCCACTTTCTAAGTGGGTAGCCATGGGCAATGTTTGGAACTTCTCTGAGCCTCAGTTTCCCCTTTGGTGAAAAGGGGACTTGGTTGTTGTGAGGACTAAATACACACACATTAAGCCTCCATGAATTATTATTATTATAAAAACGTACTGTGTGTCTAACATTGCCACAGCTGTTATACCTGTTATCTCACTATTTTTACGCCAAACCAGTGGGGTAGGAATGATGATCCCATTCTACAGAGGAGCAAACTGATGCTCAGAGAGGTAAAGTAACTCTTCTATGCGCACACACCACTCAGGGGGAACCATGTCTCCACACTGAGATGCTCTGACTCCTGACCCCACACGTTTTTTCCTGTGCCCCTCCTGAGATTGATTCTTTTAGTGTAAGGAAAAACTTTCCTATGAAGAAACAGGGTGTCGGTCTGGTCCCCTCAGCCTTGGGGGCTAGAGAGGGGACAGGCCCAGGGTAGCAAGGTGAGAAGGGGGGTGTTGTGGGGTGCGGCACGGAGACCTGCCCTGTGTCCTAAGCTGGAAGAGAAGTTTAGAGACTGAGGAGGGTCACCCACCGCCCCTGCACACCCCTTTAGGTCTCTCTCTTGTTATTTGAACACAGCCCACTAGGCAGATAGGCCTGGCAGGGGGTCCAAGAATAGTGAGCACATCTCCAGGGCCCCACCCACCAGGGCAGGGAACAACCCTGTGGGTTCCAGGGTCAGTGTGGGACATCAGGCCCAAGGTAGGACGGGGGCAGAGGACAGACAAGGGAGACATGCTAGGGTCAGCTCCTGGCTATGGTTCTGGGCCCTGGGTGCGAATGCCTGAGGCCAGCTGTGGGCTGAGTCTGTGCTATGAGGCTGTGAAGGAGTGTCTGAGAAGAGCCCCGCAGCAGAGTGAGCTATCGGGTGGCCATGGAGGACTTGACTTTGGGCAGCCTGGTGTTGGTGAAGAATTCCCAAAGGGCTGCAGGGAAATCAGAGTGGTGGACTTGGCAAGCCATTTTGCTTCTCCTAGCCTCAGTTTCCTTCCCTGTGACATGGGAATCATGACCCAGAATCTGCCTCTCACAACCTGTTGTGAAGATTCAGCTGACACCTTCTGAGGTCCCTCGGGTCCAGGGGCGTCCAGGCCGTGACAGGGCAGGGATTGAGGGTCCAGCAGATGGCAGGAGGTAGGACTATCGCATGGGAAACGGGAAGCAGGTCATACAAAGAGGGCAGCCCATCTTGGAGAGCATCTGCTCCCACAGGCCAGACTGGCTTCCAGGGCTGGGGCCTTAGTGCAGATGAGGTGACGGACCTCAAGGTGGGATTTCAGGCACCAGCCTCTTGGTGAGAGAAGGTGGTGTCCACTTGGGAAGGGACCTTGCAGGGGTGGTGAGGACAGGCTGTGGCTGGGCTCCCCTTACCAGCTCTGGGTCTTCCTCCGGGGCAGGCTGGACCCTCGCTGCTGCTTGGAGTGAGGCGTGAGGTGGTAGATGAGCTGCCGGCAGATCTTGTCTGAGGACTTCCAGAGCTCATAGTCCTGTGAAGGCAGCATTGTCAGGGTGAAGCCAAGCCCCTCCTTCCCCACTCTGGGCCTTGGGGAGAGGGGCCTGGGCAACCAAGTGTGTGTGTGCACAGCCATGCATCACAGATCACTGAGCTGCCCACCAGGGCCTCCCCTCCTACCCCCATGCCCTGCCCCCACCCCAGCTTCGGCCTGGCACAGAGCCATGGGAGGCTGACCGCTGGGAGCTGGACAGGCTGGTCCGAGGCCCGCAGTGCCCGGCAGTAGGAAGCCCAGACAATGGGTCCTTGTTCTCTGTCCTCAGGCCCCAGGCCAGCATCTCGGGCTATCAGCCGGCTGCCTGTCACCCTCAGCATCCCAAGGGGACTTGCCACAGGGGAAGGCCGGACCAGGCCCCTCAGGGGAGCCTTGCTCCACTGACGCCAATCCCTGGGAATAGGAACAAGCCAGGTCAGCACGTTCTTCCTCATCTTACTCTCCAAGCTAGACCATGCCTGCGGGGCCTGGGTCTGGGCCGACAGGGCTGGGGTGTTCAATGTTTTACAGGACCACCACCTGGCTCTCTCTTGGTCCTAATTAGGCCCTCCTAGAGGCCCAGCTTGGGGTGGAATACAGGGTATTCTTCCCACAAAGCTGGCTCTGAGCACACTGCATACCAGTGGGTCTTTTATCCAGTCTCTCTGTTAACAATGGCCCCAGGAGCACGCAGCACACTCAGTGGCAGCAAGCCCTGGTGGCTACCGTGATGGCTGTAAGCTAGCCTCAGAATCCTCAGTGCCAACTGCATACAGATGTGGTAGTTTAAAGCTGGCAGGGCCCGTGTGAACCCCTTGCTTCATGCGGGGGACCCACTGTGAGGGGGTTCTGGGGCTGGTGGCTGGCCACAGCTGTGCCAATGCTCATGGCAGGACATCTGCAGCTGTTGTCAAAGCAGGGTTCTGGGCAGTGTGGGGGTGAGGCTGTGGGTGGCAGCCTCCAATTCAGCATGAGGAGGGACGTGCTTGTGGCCCAAGCTGCCATCGGAGGGAAGCAATGAGCACCTGTCCCCAAGGTGTCCACACTGGATGGTGACCAGTGGACAAGTGCTCCAGCCTAGGGTGGCTCTCTCCGGCTCAGGAACTCAGAGGCTGGGAGTCCGATTCTGTTAGTGGATTTTCTAGAACAGTCTATGTCCCACAGGGTCTCCATATGACTTCTGCCCAGTAGCGTCTCCCCTGCCTGGACCCCCAGGCCTGGTGCACAGTTCTGCCACTGGGAAATGGGTCTACCCAACGCATGACTTTCAGGGTCAGGCAGTGCACAACTCACACTTGCTGTAGCTGCTGGCCAAGCTAATACACTGAAGCTCATATCAGGTCTCAGAGAGGGACAGTGACCTGCCTAAGGCCACACAGCAAGCTGCATGAGGATCCACACTCCTAGTCCCTAGACTCTCCTGGCTCCTGTCAACCACATTGCCAATCCTGGGGCCTGTGCCTGCTGGCCTCACCTTTTTGGGGCACTGCAGGTCTCGGGCCAGGTTCACGAGAAGGTCATGGGAGATGGGGTCCACTGGGTTAAGGAAGGCAACATTCCTGTAGAGGATGTCAGTGAGGAGGGTCCCCTCAAGGCCCAGGTCCTGCAGGTGGTGAAGAGAGCGCTGAGTGAGCCAGGGGTCACAGCCTCCGTTTGCCAGTCGCCATCACAGCCAGCCAGATGCTGCTCATGCCCATTCCTGTCTCTCCATCTCCCTCCCCAAGGCTTGCTGGACTCTCCCCACAGGCGGCAATGGGCCAGCTGTCCAGAGGCAGGTGGACTCTTCAGACGAGGAGAGGGTCAGTACATTGAGAGGCAGATAAGCAGATCCCAGAACTCTTAGGCCAGTTCCCTGGAGATGAAGTGTTGTGCTGTGACACCTTGCCTTCTCTGGGGTTGGGGCCTGTCAGGGGGATTCTTTGGGGGCTCCTGCTCTTCTTATGACCCCCAAATGCCACTGTCCCCCAGCATTCCCTTTGGACCCTTTGACTGTCCACCTATCCTCAAGTTCCCCCCAGCTGTGTCCACCATCTGCTTGCAGACAGGTCCCGACCCTTCTAGTGGGGGTGGACCTCTCTCCCAGCTCAGTACAGGGCACCACATTCCCAGGCACTGGAGCCAGAAGCCTAGGAATCACCCAGCACTCTTCCCTTGCCCTCTCTCCTCTGGCTCACCTAGTTGTCCCCTTCTCCCTCCCCACTGCTCCAGCCAAGGTTCAGGCCTTACCCCCAACAGCCTCCAGGGGCTCCCAGCCTCCCGACACCCCTCCAGTCCATCCCTGGCTGCCAGAGCTGGCTCTATGAAATACACACCTGAGCTTGACCCTTAATCTCTTTGGTGAAGACCAAGTGCTCTAGAAGTGACATCAAAGACTCACGCACCATCTGTAGTCTCAGAACTCCCTGGGCCTGGCAATCGCGCCCTCCTCAGCCCTGGGCCGCCTCTCCTACCACTCTCACAGACCTGCCATCAGGCCCTGTCCCTGGCTTTCCTGCCTTCACTCCTTGGCCTTCTCCTCCTGTCTGCTCCCATAGGCCTGGTGAACACCCTTTCAGAGGGTCTGTTTAGAGGACATACTGACAGCTGACAGGGCAGGCACAGCTGGGGGGGCCTCCAGACCATGTGTGGGCCCTCCACAAGCCAGAGAGTGGCATACTGTGTGCATAAGTCCTGGGCACAGGAATACAGGCCAGGTGGGAGTGCCCACGGGTCATAGCTGCAGCCGGTGGGAACTGCCCATGTTACAGGGCAGGATAAGACCCTCACCAGGACTCTCAACCCTGACCTCTGGGGCACAAGGGGATGACCTCGCTAGTCTCTGAGGGACCTTTTTTCCCTGATGTTTCCTAAAATGCCCAGCTGGTGCCTTGGGCTCCAGACGCCATTCCAGACAGAGATCTGGGCCTCTGGGCGGTCTGGCTGATCTGGTGCTCCTCTGCTGTTTGCATTTTCAACATGGTTCAAACCACAGATGCCAGCTAGGAAGGATCCAGAAGAAGGAAGAGGTGGCTGGTGAGCCTGGGCCAACCCAGACAGGGCCCCAGACCACAGCCTGCTAGCCTGCCTTCTGCTGGTCTGGACAGCTCCTCTTAAAGGGCCAGCTCCACCTTTCCAGCCTGCTGAGCCCAGAGAAAGGAAACTGGGGGCAGGAAGAGTAGGGCTGGGAGGCTGGGCTCTGACACTAACCCTGATTTGCCTCCAACTTTCTCTGTGGGCCCTGGCCTCACCGCTTCTCTCCATGCCTCAGCTTCCCCAACTCTCATCACCCACCTTCTTCAGGCCAAACACCTGCATGGCCAATTTCAGCTCACAGGATGGGGCAGGTGGTGGTGGCAGCTGCTGCCGGGGTGGGGACGGGGGTAGAGAGAAAAATGGCTTGGCCAGTGTTGATGCTGGGACCAGCACCCATGTCTCCTAGGGCAACTCAGGGCTCGGGATCTGAGACTACGGTACCTAGTGTGTGTTGGACCGAAGCCACCCACCCTGATGTGTCATTATGATGTACAAATGTGTACTCAACGGGCATGAGCTGCCTGTTAGAGGACGAGATGCGCACCGTCACTCTGTCTGGGCTGCTGTGATGTCCTGTGGTGAGAGAGCACCTGCAGGCCAGCTGGGCAGCGGCCTCCCAGGGTCCTCTCCAGGGTCCAGTGTCTCCCCCACATCCTGGAGGGGGGGGAACTGCCCTCTTCCCACTGTCCCTCCATACAAGATGATTTGCCCCCCGCTTGCCACTTCTCCTAGACCCCTTCCTTTCTTGCCAAGGCCCGAATCTGGGTTCTCAGCTCCAGGCTGGGGGTACCCTCGACACACACAACGACCTCAAACCCTAGAGACCCGGACACTCACCGGCCCTGCTCCTCCACCCGCGGTCTGTCCGCCTCACCCGGCCCTCGCTCTAGCCGGCAGCCCTCTCGCCAACAAGACCCCCATCCCCCGCCGCCCGCGCGCCCCAGGCCAGCTCCATGTCACCGCCGGCCACTTCCAGGCCCGCCGCCCCGGCCCCTCCCAGGCCCCGAGGCCCTCCCCGGCCCGCCAGCC